ATGGCTGATGCTAACCTTCAGGAGAGTGAGCGCCTTCTTTAGTTAACGTTTTCCATTGACATTAAGTGGAAAGATCATCATCAAGTTAGATTACTGAATCGTTTTTTCTCCCCAGAATCTATATTGAAAATATTTATAAGTCAGCCATTGTTGTTACGTCTAGTCTGGTGCTTTATCAATGTATTTAGAGATTCTTGATAAATCCAAAGAAGAATTTGCAATTTTATCGGCCCTGACCTAGCAACTCTGTTTCAGTCATCTTCCCACTACCAAAATGTAGCTTCTTTGTGCCTTTTCTATAAATACTTTCATTGTAATTGTTCTGATGAGCTTTCCACTATGGTACCTCAACTTTATGAATTCAAGTGCGGTACTAGATTGGCAGATAGGGCTCATCATTTTACAGTCGAAACGGATAGATGTAACTGTAAATTCTATGCTAACAGTTTCTTTCGTATTTCTCACTTGTTGAACTCACTTCCGGCTTCTTGTATACCAGTCAACTTTAATCTTCAAAAATTTAATTTGTCATTTGTTATCTTCTGTCTTCTTAATTCTTGTTCTTTTATTCTTCTCTCTCCTTAATAGTGTTTTTTTTTTCCTGATATTCCCTCACACTCAGTAACCGCTTAGTGACTTTATTGCTTTACTTGAGGTGAAGTGATTTAAGAAAAGACCATCATTTTGGGGAATTCCGTGGTATTTCAGTTAGTAAACAATTCAAACGGTGAGAAATTTTAAATTTAATTGTCATGCGTTCGCCATATAGATCAAAAGTTGTACTGACAGAATTCTTGTTACTGAAATTGAGAGAGGCGACGAAAGGTCAACAGTTTTAATCGAGAAACGTTTTACATAGGCGGAATGAAAACGTGCAAAAATGGTTTGAGAATGTGTACCACTAAATACTAATTCTGATGAAAGACAAACATATAATGTTGGACAGAAATTAAATTACTTTTAATACGAATTTCTATCGGGTTTAAAACTTATTTTATAAGATTGATAACCTTACTTATCAATCAACCTTGCGATTTCGAAGAGAAATAAATTTCATTTTGACGTTAGTTTTATTATTCTAATGAAGCCTGTAGGTCTTTTGCGAGGACCATCTTTCTTCGAACCTCGTGGACTGGCGCTACACAATCACAAAGAAATGCACCAAATAACAGAATCCACAACACTTCATTACATACAAAATCAATTAAAATGGATAGCACATGTTAATCGAAGAGAAAATAATGACATAATCAAGTTGTTGACGTTCCACACGACTTCAAACAAAAGCTTAGTAAGGAAACTCCCGTCAATACTGGAAAGAGCGATAACAGAGGACTTGAGAAGTCTATTTGCCTGGGAAATTGTTTTGATAGAATAATGGCTGAAATTTTAACCAAAAATTAAGGAATGCCGAATGTTTCCTTATAAGGAGACTGCTAATATTAACGTTACCATCTGGTCTAAAAGTTGTTTGAAAGGTTTGGAGATCTCATTTATCAATCAAAACTCGCAATTTCAAAAAGAAATTAAATTTATTATTTTATTTGGTCTAAAATGTATCTACAATTGGAGACTGTACTTATCAATTAACCATCGTCATCTAGAGGAGAAATAAATTTATATCAGTTTCACTTTAGAGAATTTATTATCAATCAAACGTCATATGGTAATTTTCTCAGTGTAGCTTAGATGTGACACAAGGCCGAATGTATGCGGCATCTAGTGAGGATCGAACTCACTACTTAGTCGTAATTGTTCTAGCGAGACAAGCTTGTTAACCATTAACCATTACACTGCCTGGAGGTACCCATGGTAAAGATTTTCCAAGCATAGCTTAGATGTGACGCAAGGGTGAAAATATGGGGCACTCAGTGAGGATTGAACCCACTATTCAGTTTTAATTTATCTAACGAGGCAAGATTGCTAACGATTGCCCCACATCGAAGTGCGCCAAGCAAACTTCATCTGAATATAGATTTAACAGCAATCCGTTCCTTAGCGGCATGTTTCCTAGTCCATGTTCATGTAAAAGTTGATTTTCAAGTCAGTGGTGTTATATTGCGTTGTGATGAGCCTATAAAATATCAATTCAGATTCAACTAATCCTAACTCCTAACGTACGAAATCACAGTTATTTAATATTGATCGTTTCAGCCAGGATTCAAGACTTCGTCATTAGTCACTGAATTTTGCGCTGTTTTTTCAGACAGCGCTGAAGCATGAACGGAAACCGTTGATTATTAGTACTTTTACAGTTTGTCGATTAGCCAGACGATTCGTCTGAACAGGTTTTCAGATGGACTCCTTCCTTGCTTTTAATGTTTGGTTGGAGTTTATGTCATTGTCTGAAGTGCTGTTTAAAAAAGTCTCAAATAACAAAAGTTAAATAGCCCAGTAAAAATAATGCAGGTTTAAGTTAAAAAAAAAAAAAAAAAGAGTGAATTCTACAACACGTTTATCTGTCCACACACGTCCGTCACACTTAGCAAAAGAGTAAATA